AAATAAAGGTGATGGTTGCCAAATTATTTTCATTGTTTGTGCTAATTCGATTAGTGATATTTGAAAAAAGTGGAGGAAAAGCTCAAACCAACGCCCCCAGCTCCCCCATCCCGTGATCCAAAATCCTTGTCCCTTGCATCAGGAAGTCTGTGCCAGGCAAACCACAGTGAAGCACAGGAGAGCTACTGACTCCCTGGCCTCCCTCAGCCTTCTTGACACCCTTGCCTTGAGAGCGATGGCCACGCTGTCAAGGACCTTTGCCTAAACCCCACTTTCCCAGTCATTAATCCTCCAATTCAAGTTAATGCCCCCAAATGAGATTCCCAAGTTTTCCCTGAGTCCTCCCCTGCCCCTGAGAATGACTCTCAAGAGACACAAGATGGTGGAAGCCCCATGGTTCAGCCCCCACCTTGTGCTTCTTCTTCCCACAATCCCTTTCACCCTGTTCCTTCCAACCCCTTCCTATCCCCTGACCCCACCCCTACTCATGCCCCTTCTTCTCCTCCCCTCTCCCCGAACTCCACACCTTCCCTGGGTATCCCCCCTTCCTTTCCACCAGCTCAGCCTCCCATTCCCATGACATCATCTGTTCCCATGATGTCACCTGTGAACAGCAACTCCCATTCCAATTGCTGTCCCACCCCTGCTCCCTTCTCCTTCTCTGGCAGCTCTCATTCTTTTCTAGCTTCAAGTTCTCACACTGGCATGGGGACTGGAAGCCACAAGCCCAAAAAACAGAACCTGGAACAAAAGACCATCCCCTTTGCTGCACCTGTTACCTATACCCAAACACGAAGAACCCTTAAATGGCATCCTTTTGATTATCAGCATAAAGGAGCTTTGCAAGGCTCAGAAGGAGTTTGGGAGAAAAAGTGAATATTTTAAAGGCCTTTTAAAGACCACCTTTTCCTCAAACACACTAGCTCCTGATGATATCAGGGATTTGTTTGCATGTCTCCTAACCCAAACAGAATATCTGTTATGGGAGAGGACATGGAAGAGATTATTACGAGAGCTCCTTTATGAGAAAACTATGATACACTAAAATATCCCCTTTAATTCATGAAAAAGTATGGGGGGATGGAGTGTTCAAGTTGTAGACATAAGCAGAGGCATCCATAATGCAGCAAAGCAGAGGTTGAAGTAGCTTTGATCTCATGAGAAGGTTGAACAAAGAGAAGAAAGGAATTGAAGTAGCTGTGATCCCATGAGAAGCTTGAACAGAGAGAGACGGATGAGAGTTATGACAACCCTTTGCCCCCAGGGAAAGAAGAAGAAGACCTCTGTTCCCAGAGATGAAGATGATCTCAGAATTAGATGAAGACAACCTTTGCTTTTGAACAGCTCATCCTTAAAATAATACCCCATAAGTTAACATTGCCCATTAACTCAGCTATGGGAAGGCTGAAAATGAAAATGGGAGAAACTTCATGATTGCAGATTTTTCCAGGCAGCTGCTATTTTTGGAAATTAAAGAACAACAAGAGAACTGTTTCTTGTGGAGAAGTCTCCATGGCATGACAAGAGAAAACGCCTCTCCCTACAAGAACTGATGAATGACTATTGTAGAGGTAATAACTGGTTGAAAATCCCAGATTTTGTCTCTGCATTGTCAGTTGGGAAAGTGTTCTGAAGGGGAGGAAAAGTGTTCTGAAAGTATTATTCTGATTCTTCTTATTCTTTTAGTTCTGTTAATAAAGTTTTCTTTGTACCTCTTAAGTTTGAGCCTGCTTTGCCTTCCTCCTAATTCATATCTCAGAGCAAGAAATGAGTAAATAATTCTAATAAGTGCACTGGTGATTTTAGCCAGCGCTAAACCCATTGTATTGTTTGGTGCATTTGCTAGGAAACTAAAATTGGCAAACCTAAACCACTATACGAATGCACTGAAACTACTGGTGCAAATGGTGCAAATAAGCTAAAATATTTCATAAAGTAAGAATTAGGTACAACAGTAACTTGGCTTAATGATATGATTTCATGCGAATACTCCAGCTTTTAGCTTTTGCTATAAGCTTTCTAAGATGTTCAAATACATTAAAATACCTATTTATTTTGATTATAATGATATTTTAACTCTAAGTCTAAAAGGCCCTTCCTAATTAAAATGATTATTCTATATAATTTTAAATTGATTACTAAAGATATGTTTGCAGATACTTAATTCCTTTTCAGCTTGAAATGTCCAAGATCTTTTCCATTAAATTACTTAGTTACAAATGAAGTATTTGAAATAAAAACGGTGTAAAATTCTAATTAGTTTATTTGTTGTTGCTCTTTGAGGGATGCTTAATAGGAAAATGAGCATAATCTTTAATCGTTATAAGTCTTAGAAGTCAGAACTTCTGTACTGAATCAATAGACCTTTGTAAATTTAAGATTTCATTGATTAATTAATCTGACTTTGAATAGTTCTCTCCTAGCAAAAAGGACATATTCTTCCAGACTATGTATCTGATCAGACTTCTTTCATAAGAAGAAAGAAGATTTTAATTCAGAACTTTTTTTTTTTAAAAAAAGGTTCTGTTATACATCATATGGTTTTACTGGTATGCTTAATATTCTGCTATAAAAATTAATACTTTTTAATCAGGATGCAAAGCTATTTTTATCAGTGATATGTGACTTGTGAAGTAACATAAAATCACACAAAATGTAGGTAAGAAGTTGTCATCTACTTCTGACAAGCTCCTACTTATTATACTCTCGATAATACTAACTTTCAGTACTTGCTCTAATTTCTAAAAACATCATTAAGTTCAGATTGAATTAGGACTATTTTTCTTGCATTCCAATAACCCTGCTGTGTGTTTCTGTTGCAAATAGATGGGATAATAAGACAGAATTGGTAAATTATGTTAAACCTCGCTAAATCTCCAAAACAGACTCCATCTCCTATCTTTAAATATTTTCATCAAGTTTTGGTTTTGGACAAATTCTGTATATGTATAATTATATACTTTTGTCAGGTTTATTTGGAACAAAAATGTGGAAATTGCAACAACCATCTAGTACATTGTGTGTCCTGTTGCCACACAGTTCTTCAAATTCTGGGTTACTGCATGGTATTTTCAACATCGCCTATGTAGAAATTACTTCCAAAAGACTAATGTATTATTAAAAATTATTTCTTACAGTAGTTTATACTGGGGAAAAGGAAGACAAATTAATAAAAATGTAGTGAATACAATTCATTCTTACCTTGGTTTGAAATATGGACATAGTTCTACTCAATCAACCATCACCACTCTATAGAGGGACTAGAGGATAATGAGTTAGTCAAACCAAAGGGATGAATTTATTTCTGAGAAACTAAGTGCAAATCCCTAATGAAATGGTTCCTTTGACTTACCTGTTTCACCATCATCTGAGAAGGTGATGTTGATCTTTATGTGAAACCATTAAGATGTGGTTTCAACATTCAAACATTCACTTTGTGTTCACAAGTACAACACAGTTCTTTAGGTGTACCCCTGGTGAGCAACAGATGTGTCAAGTGTACTTCATGTCTTTGATTTTTATTTTGTTCATCTTGTATCTGCTATACAGTCCCTTTTTTTTTTTTTTTTTTTTTTCAGAGCCAGTTGTCTTACTCTGTATTTCTATAGTGGTTAGTACAATAGGGTATTTGCTCTTTGGAGAGTTACAACATAAATTTTCAAATGAACCAAAAGAAGTAATTGACTGTGACACTATAGCAACACCCAGGTCTTTGCAAATCACATTTTTAAAGACAGAATCTGGATTGCTGGATTGTCTCATTTGAAGTAACATCTTAGTTCCTTTCTGTTGTATCAGAGAACTATGGCCACCCATGTCAAACAGCTAGGAAAAAATTATTGTTTCTGCACTAGTGTATACTGTTGCATGGTAGACAGCAGTACTGAAATGTGAAATTATGTCAGATCTCCTCATAATTTTGGAATCATAAAAATGAGATTTCAAATGAAATTTTCATTTCTTTGCATTTGCTTTAATAAAAAAGGGGTTTCTTCAAGAGAAACTCAAAGCTTCTAATTCTGGAATTAAAGCTTCCAGTGTTTCAGTGGTATGTGGAGCTAAATTTGAACCAGATGGAATTACATTTTTTGCTCAAATGACAGCTTGTTTTTGTGCACAATGTACAAGAAAGCTATTGCTATTCAGTAATAAACATACATTCCTGAAATGTGATGGGTTCTGTTTCTGTTTGTATATTTACAGTTCATTAACACAGGAGTAGTTGGTTTTTGTATTCTTTTAATCTCTTTTTAGTGTTTAAGTGTGTTATGTTTGGCACTTGCAGATCTGCCTATTGAATACTTATGGTTTTGACCAGTTTTAAAGGATATTTACACTGCAGAGAAATCTTTACCCTTGACTGTTCATGGGATAATATGAGTGCAGACTGGAAAAATAATAACTATTAAGAATTAATTTTGTCAAGGTTTGTTATTTTCCCTGAAAATGAGAAGAAATAAATTGAAAACTCCTACATGAAAAACCATATTGAGTTGGCAAAATGCTGTATCAGGTAACTTTCTACTGGTTTTGATTACTTGCCATTTTAAATTATGAAATTTAGCAAAAACAACCCTTGATTTTGATCATCAAGGTCAAGTGATGAGACCTGGCCCTACTACTCAGTTGTTACAATGATTTACAGAAAATAATATTGAGCTATGAAGTTGGCACCAAGCAAGGATTAGAGGGGTTTTTCTGGCCTTTTGCACCTCAGCATATTAAATCTAAATTGCTTTCAGTTGCCAGTGTACTGGAAAGGTTTCTATGAGCAGTCCTGTTGCTGTTGAAGCAAATTTTAATGCAAATGCCTTTTAGAATTCTGTAACAGGATACTATGCCTTGATTAAGCTCTCTTGTCTTATTTATATCTTTGTTGATGACTTGAAGATGTTATCCATATATAAAACAAATTCTGTATGATCAAATAGTTAAAGGGTCCCTTAATATTTTAGTAACACTTACTAATAAATTGTTTTGGGTTTTTTTGTCCCACTCAGAACAAAAGCCTCAAAAACAAGCTCTTGTCAGGAAACAAGCTTTGTGGTATTCACGCAGAAGAGGTAAGGAAGATTCCAGTCTATTATAAATCTAATGTACTCAAAAGAAGTTTGCATCAACGTCTTTTGTACTGAGGTTCTTGTTTATTATACATATACACAAGAATATATATATATATATACATATATATATATATACATATATATATACACACACCAGAATACAGGATATATATTATGCTTATATGGTGAGTGTTTACTTAAAGTGCTCTCATTCCAGCTCATTTCTGTGACTTCACAAGAAGCAGCTCAAATGTATTAAAAAGCCAGTTGCAAACTCAAGTTTTAGACAAATAAAATCATTTGGGCATGCCTATGATATAACTCTACAGATATATACATCTATAACATATAAAAAACTGATTTCATTTCCATGATGTCCATATCTACACTAAGACAGGAATTGCCAAAGGCCTGTTTTGAAATAAACATAGAGACAGGAAAGATCTATCATTATTGATTCCCAGAATGTTTAATTATTTCAAGGGAAAAAGGGTCACTTTATGAAACTTAGTGAAAGAAATCTCCCCTCCACTGAAGAGTCATATAGATAGTCAATGATATAAATGCCCTGGTTTTGGTGAATTCCTCAATGTAGAAGTACCTGCACTCATGTGAACACTCCCTTTATTTAACTTTTCATTTAAAAAAAACTATTACATGTGAATCTGATTTACTCACATTACTTTAGTTTGGGTTTTTTGCATATATAATTTCTGTTGAGGTCATTGCACCTTTCCAGAATGAAACCAAAGCATAAAAAATTTCTTCTGTACTAAAATTTTCCTAATTATGGTTGAATGCATTTTCATTAGTCTCTCTTCATTTTAACTCAAAGATCAGTACTTAGGAGGTCAAGTTTCTGATAAATTTTCAAAGATATAAAATAATAGGGTTTGGAGTATTTTTTTAAGTTTTTCAAAATCTTTCTTCCTTTATCCCTATTGTTGCTTTTAAACATGTCACAGTATAGGAATACAGATGTGTTTTCTTTCTTTACTGCTTAAGAAAACAGCAGTGTGTGCAAGTAGTTTTCTGATTTCCTCTCTTTTTCAACTTCTAGTGTATAGGGTTTGCAAGACAAGGTTTTGTTAGTGGAGAGAGCTATTGGGGTGGCTTATTCTGGGAAGCTTCTAGAAGGTTACCCTGTGTCCAACACTGCCAGCAGTAGGCTCTACTATGAATCTACCACTGGCCTATTTAAGAAAGAAAAAAGTTATTGCACAGTAATAATTGTTGATGGATACCAAGGTCAGTACAGAAGGAGGGAGAGGAGCTGCTCCAGGCACTGGAGCTATGATTCCCCTGAAGTCTGTGGGACAAAAGGCCATGGTGAAGCAGCTGTGTCCCTGCAGCCTATGGAAATACCAACAAGAGTGCAGAGATCCACCTGCGGCCTATGGAGTATCCCCATATCATAGCAGGTGGATGCCCTAAAAGAAGGTTGTGACCTTGTGAGAAACCAGTTCTGGAGCAGAGACCTGTGGATCCATGGAAAGAGGAGCCCACGCTGGAGTAAATTTCCTGGTAGGACTTGTGACCCCATGGAGGACCCATGCTGGAGCAACCAGTTCCTGAAGGACTGCACCCCATGAAAAGGGATCCTGCTGGAGCAGTTTGTAAAGAAATGTAGCCCATGGGAAGGAATCAGCATTGAACAAGTTTGCAGAGGAGTGTTTCCTATGGAAATACGTTTCCCCTTGATGGAGCAGGGGAAATACTCTCCCTGAGGAGGAAGCAGCTACAGAAGTGTATATAACTGGGGGCATAACTCTCATTCCCTATCTCCATGTGCTGCTGAAGGAGGAGGAGGTAGAAGCTGGGAAGCAGAGGGAGGGATGCTGTTTTTAATATTTCTTTTACTTCTTATTATTCTGCTCTGATTTTGATTGGTAATAAATTCAGTTAATTTCCCCAAGTCAACTATTTTTTGCCCATGATGATAATTGGTGAGCAATTTCTCTCTATCCTTAATTCATGAACCTTTTGCTTTATTTTATGTCTCCTGGCCAGTTGAGGAGGGAAGTGATAGTGTGGCCTTGGTGGGCACCAAGCCACCACACCTAGCTGCCTAATACTTGAACCTTTGGCAATTAACTTGAAGAGCTTTTCTCTGATTATGTCTCTTTTAATATTTGCATTTAAGGATGAAGCCTAAGGACAATTTAATTTTATTACAGTGTGACAAGCCCTGGCAGTCACATTTATTTATCTCTTTATGGCAGTCACATAAATTCTAGTGATAAAAATAATATTGTAATAAATTGGTCACATGTTCTGCACTTACTTCAATTTTTAGTCTCTTTAGGAATACCTGAACATTTCACATGTGGAAAGATGGGTGTGGGTAATATTCTTCTGCTGAATATTGGTGATCTTATTGTCTATCCTATTGTTCCTACAGGAAGTTTGAAATTGGATTTGTTTGTATTTTTTTCTAAATCAGTACAATTCCATGAGATACATATGAGAAATGATTAAACCTCTTAAATGTACCCTAGACAGTTCTCATACCTGCTGTCTTTTCAGATATCTTATACCCAGTATGCATTTACAAGTTAAAGAACAGGTTATGGAATAAGTTTTTTACCTTCCAGCATGTTGTTATACAAGACATTGATGATTTCAGTAAATTGAATGAAGTATTCAAGGCTTCAAAGAGATCCTCAGAAAATTAAACATAAATTAGATAATAGTCAAGAGAGCAGACTGTGAGTGTATTTCAAAGTGTGAGAATCTCTTACTTTATGAATCATCCTGGCAAATTTGCAGCTATTAAGCATGTTGCCTTTGGAACAAACAGAAATGCTGCAGCATCATCGTTTTTTGGTGATCATTTTGCCAGTTAGGTTGTGCCATCCAGAGAAACACAGTGTGTTTTCTGTTTTTAATTAGGTACTATACTCACAAAGTGTAACAACTGTGTAAACTCAGTATCTTTTCAGTTATTAGTTATTATATCCAACACCTTTTGCGGGTAGAGTTGCCTATCAGGGAGATCCTGCTTCTTTTTGCTCCCTCAGGCTGCATGCAGAGACAGACAGTGATTCCTTGTTGTCTAGTTGCAAGACATTAGTGGGAGCATGCTTGTCATGCACAGTTTTTGCACTGCTGAATTTTCTTCTCCAAGAAGTCAGAGCCTTAGAGAGGGAGGCAGAGTAGTGCAAACACTGGAGTTTCCAGGACACAGAAAGGAACACATGCCAGGGCAATACTACCAGACTTGGCATCTTAGAGGCCTTTGTTTAATAGTAATTTTATCTGTCTGACTCTACTAAGAGGTCCTCTCCCTTGAAGAACAGAAAATCTCCAAAATAACCAAATGTTATCACAAAGAGTTAGAAGTCATACATGTTTTGGACCTGCACTGAATGTATTTAGCTTTATGACTTTTAATTTCATCACAGGCTTCATATTTATCAAATTAGTTATACCTTAATTGTAACTCTCAGATTCCTCTACAGCCTATTTGGATACCTTGTATATCACAGAAATTGTACATTTTATTAAACACAGCTCTCAGAACAATTAAAATTCTCATTGGTCTTCAGGTGATGTACTCTATAGCTCAACTAATTGCATTGCCTCAGTCAGAGGACAGTGCTATTGAATTAAGTAACAGCAGATGAAATCAGAGAACAAAGAATTCTGCTGGACTGATTTTGGCTATTTATTTCAGATTTTACAGAATACCATAACAGTTTTGGCCTTACTATTTAAACATTTAAAACAGGTTTTAAAATTTTATACTTAGATTCACTCAGCCTTCCCAAAAGTCTGTCATTGAATTTGACTGCATCAGTTGGAAAGAGAAAAAAATCTTTCAAAAAGTTCCAGCTTATGAAAGATACACTACTTTTGTAATATGTAAGGTTTATGGAATGCTCTTTCAGTAAATGTGAAACAGACTTCTAATCTGTTCCAAGGACTTCAAAACACTTGGCATTAATTAATACAAGAAAATTTATTGAGTATCAGTTGGGACTGTGGATTTTATTAAAAACAAATTATTATTTTGAGACTATTCTTAGATTTTATAAATGAGTCAGACCTCAGGAGGGAATGAGTAAGTAAAATTTAATTAGAACCCATTAAAATTACAGCGCAAAGGGTGGGGTGGGGTGGCAGTGTTGGGAGAGTACTGAGACTGTTTCTGCTCACCAGAGGATTACCCACAAAATGGCATCTCCACTTTTTATATGGTCATGGTTGCATCAGCCTCATTAATATTAATGACCAGTGTTTAGATGTCCTTCCAGCACTTCCCACAGTTTGTGGCTTTGCCCATATATGTAGATTTGGCTCCTCCCATGGTCTATCAGTCAATCCTCTGTGCCTTTTGTTGGTGGAGCCTCTCTCGCATCTCAATTGGTGGCCAAGCCTCCCAGCAATAAGTGTCCCCCACTCCCTGCCACCTCTTGCAAGGGGCAAATGTACGTGCCACCCCTGTCCCCCGCTATATTTTGACAGCCCTGTCAGCTATAGCTGCTAGGCAGTAAGCACAAAAGGGGAAAGGGAGGATGGAGGGGAGAACACAAAAGGGTTCAAAACCAAATTGGAACCACAGAAGTACATTTCAAAAGAACTGCAAACCTTAACAGAACTTCTTCCCACCATACTTAATAACTCCTCATTTGCATGAGCCAATCACTATTCCTTATTCATAACATTAGATAAATAGTGAAATAAATTTCCTTGGATAGTTGTGTTTAGTACAAAAAACCCATTTATATTATATTTTGTTTAAATTAATAAAAATATATAATTATTACATATTTATTATTATAAATTAATAAATATATATAGCTAAATATATATATTTAATGTTATATTTAACAATATATAAAATAGATATCATCTTAAACTGACATAAATAACTATAACTATGCCTGTTTTCAAGGGCATGGTTAAAAACTGAGAATGTAGTTCCTTTCGATACCATCTGGAACACCCTGATCTTTACAAAGACCTGTGTAAACCTACGGAGCCTTTTTACTTCTAAGAACGCTTACTTTGAAGGTGATACCTTCAGTTATGCTTCATGGAAAGCATTAATATGTTCATGTCTAAATACATTTCTTAATAATGCTCTAATGTCTAAAATGTGTAAGCCCAACAGCTATTCTTTATAGTACTAACTCAGGTATGTGCTTTACATGAGTGCCATTTTACATTTTCCTCAGTACTTTAAATTGGTTTGACTTGTGAACCTGGAAAAGCAATTGACAATTATTTGGAGGGGAGCATTCTAAATCTGATCTAGATAGTGCAGTTCTCAGAATTCACTATGATTTTTTTAATATTTAAAATTTAAGAAAAAAAACAAAACCTGATTTTATTATCCTCACTTTCAGTCAAAAAAGATCCAAGCCCAGCTGAAAGAGTTTCATTATGGGAAAAAGGATTTGATTTTTAAGGTAAGTTTTATTTCACTATAGTTAACCAAAATATTAGAGATAATACAACATTGGAGTAAAGTAGGAATATGATAGCTGCCTTTATTACTGCAATCCTAAGGAATTAGTTTGTTCTGAAAAGAACTCAAAACACCAAGACAAACTTAATACCACAATGCATTTTCAGAAATATACTTATATCTATATTTTTGTGCTCACAAAAAGCTAAATTCTAGGTTACTGCTCATGAATAAAACCTGTTGCCCTATTCCATACATTCTGTAACGTCTTTCATTTTTCTAACTGAACGATATAATATTTTACAGATGCTTCTTGTTTTTCCTTTAATTAGCACTCCTCCATGGCAAAGTCAAGTATTGTTAACATTTAAAACAAATCTCTGCGTTTATGATAAGCTTGAGTCGTGTAATGTTCCTTAGGTCTGAAGATTTAAGAAAAAGAAATGTCTGTTGCTTAAACAATCCAAATGAATAGTCTGTTCTAGCTAGCAGATTTTAAAAAATAATAAAAATTTTAAAAATAAAGGAGGGGAGGGCAAAACATAAAGACATTGCTGAAGGGCATCAAGTCCCTGTTAACACAGGAAGAAGTTAATCCCTTTTAAAGGAAGAGGAGAGAGATACAGGTCACCTGACTAAAGACTGTGAATGGAGTATTCCTTTTATATATTCCCAGCATAAAGGGTGAAGATTAAGTAGTCATCTTCAAAGTAACTAGACCTAGAATTACTTACGAAGTCATTCATGTCAATAGGAGTTCCAAATTGTCTTCTGGAGGTGTTTAACTCTCTCTACTGTCTCTCTATTATATATACAGTGCTGTAAATATAGAGAAATGTAGGCCATTTAAAAGACACATTGTGATTTCTGTTGGATTTTTGTTGGTTTTGGATTCTTTGGGGGGGTTTGCTTGTTTGGGGGGTTTTTGTTTGTTTTTGTTTTTTAAATGCATAGGTTTATTCTAAGTTTTTTCAGGAACATTTATTTCTGGTCTTCATAAGACCAAACTCAGGGAAGCAAATTTAGAGACAAAAATTAGGTATATTATAGATCTAGGCATTTAACTTTTATTGCCATCGAGCATTAGCAAAAATAACAGATATTTCTTCAAATTCAGTATTATGAAGAGCTTGAGCAGAGGTAAAGATCAAAAATTCTAATCTTGCCTTGTTGTGAAAGTTTGTTTTCTTTGGCTGAAGCAGTAGGATTGTTTAGCACTATTATCTACTTGTTTTCACTATGCTAATACACAGTGATCCCAAAAAAGGCTCTGAGTTATGCTACGGTGCATACTAATGCTTAGGAAGGGAATTCTTGCTAAGTACTACCCACCTGAAAAAAGGTTAGAGAAGGAAAAAAAACCTGGGAACACAAACAAGTGAACATGGCAGAAGGGCTGTCCAGCAGGTCACTGGCATTCATGCAATGAAATCCATTTTCCCCTAATCCTAGTTCAGTAAACTATGACAATGTAGTAATTAAGGCACACATGTAAAGAACTGTAGTAAAGGAGGAAATATGTCTAGTGTGAATGGGAATAGACATAGTCTCATCTGAATGGATATTGCTTTCTCCAACAAATTCTCCACTTCAAATCCTTGGAGAATTATCTTCTGAAGACCATGTCTACATTTGATCATATGAATTATGCCTTGAAGACCTTGATTTACATTGAATAGACATAGTTCTTGATCATGAATGAACACTAGAGATGTAGGTCCCAAGTTAAATAGTGTGAATTGTCCTCTGAGTGCTCTTACTGTAATATAAGGATAGTTACTTTCCTTCTACGTAAACTACGATCTAATGTAATTAAAAACACTCTGAGAACTTTAGATCAAGAATGTTAATGAATTGTGGATTTCAAAGCCCCACACACTGAGAACTATGTATTATATATTTATATGTAAGCAGTTGAAACCTCTCCTGACTGTGTGCAGTTCTGTGTGAGACTGAATGATTGCTTTGCTAATATTGACATTGCCTTTATATGTAACCAGAAATATTTTTGCAGGTGTAATCATCAATCTCTTTCCTGACCAAGAAAATTTGATTTATGAAGCAGAGGGAGCAGCAACCTTATGCTATCCTCCTAAATCATGTGAAATGGGGGGAGGGTAGGTTCAGAGTGCTTGTTTGTGTGTGTTCCATGTCTGACGACAGACACACTAAGCAGAGCAGAAGCCATTTGGTGTAGTAGTCTTTTAGTTATCTGCTTATGCTGAGTGGAAAGTAAACCATTGGGAGGAATGAACCCCACACAATACATTGTGGAAGATTTCAAGTCAGAGCTATAACTTAATAGGAAAATTACAATAAAGGCAATCGTACAGAAACACTGGTTTAAACTGACAAAGTCAGAATACAACATGATACCCTGTTGGTCAGGGTGGTAGGAGTCAAATTAAAGATGGTTGCAGTCCCATTGGAGTGATGGATGTGGTCTTGCCAAAGCAGTGAGCCTATTGAAAGGTCTGGTCCTTCTCTGGAGGTACAGGGGTGGTGGAGAGCTCCTGTCCTCTGGGAATCCAGTGGTAGGTGTTGTCATGTCCCAGACCCCAGATTGTATAGAGGCAAGAATGTTCAGTACCTCCGATAGGTAGGTACTACATCACAATGGGCTGATGTGATTCTGTGAGTCATTCTGGAGAGTCCTTGATGGCCCATTAGCAGAGATGAACCCTCAGGGTGGCTGCTGCTTCCCTAGAAGGAGTTACCATGGTTGAGTCCTGGCAAAGACAGAAAAACAGTGCTCCACTCATCTTAATAATTCATCAGAAGGTAATGTTGATGGTGGTAGAATATATACTTTGGTTACACCCCATTTGTAATCTAAGACACTGCTTGATCAGAGAGAGGCTGCTAGGTTTGGGCAAGAACAGGTGATATTTAATTTCTAATTGCTTTGATACTGGAAACATAACAGATTTAATGTTAGCATTGCTGTTGAGGCTGTTTTATGAAGCTGTTCCTCTTTGATAAATGAAATGGATAGTTTTCCTGCCAGCACAGCATGAATGTTTGGCATAAAATCCTGGCTGCTAGCTACTTTCATGTTACTGGACTTTTACCTATTCCCTTTCCGCTCCTTTCCCATACCACTAAGTTTCTTTCTGTGTGGCTTACTGAGGACTTTAGGGAAGTCTGCTCTCCATATAATCTGAACATTCCAAGCCTCTTGGTGCATTTCACAGGAAGGATGTAAGCTGCAGATTACTATATTTCTAAAGGGCATGAAGTAAAGCTGCAGTTCATGTCCATCAAAACGATGCTTTCTCTGAACAAATTAATTCTGCAGATATATATAGAGGGATTGGTTGATTTTTATTTTGCATAATCGACATCAAGAAACTATTTCTTAAATTCTGGTACCTATTACAGTCAATGGCTCTGTTCTGAACTAGATCGCTGGGGATTAAGTGGGAGAGGAAGAGAAAAGGGAAAAAAAGGCAGCTTTCTCTTTAACATTCCAGTGAATTGGTTGATCATATCTTCTTTTTCATATCTTACTTACATTTCTTGTGTTTTCAAAGTGTTTTATTATCTCTCTGATTAATTAGGGAGCATATATATGTGTATGTTTATATTTTTAAAACTCTTCCTATGTGATATAAAGCCATGGGACAAATAAGTAATGAGCATCACAAAAATTAATTCATATACCCAAGGTTATCGAGCTTGTCAGTACCTCTACTCAGATTATAATTTGAGGTCCTGTCTCTTTGTCAGATTTCAGTCCTTTAAAGCATGCAGCACGTTATCCTTAAAGTATTGACCAAAGTTGAAATTTGCTTTGCATTATAATGAGAAAACAAATAAATTATTAATAAAAATTGCCACTGAGTGCTCTTGATCACTGCCTTTGTAAGTAGGTACTGACTAGTTCTGAATGACACTACTCTCAGTTGCAATAATTTAAATTATCCTAAGCCCCCAATTCAGTAAAATACTCCTAAGTTTAAGTACTTTGCTAGATTGAGGTCTGCATTTGTTTCAGGCATTACAGACCACTTCTTTTTAAAATTACTTCTTCATTAACTGTCTTTGCATTATTAGGCTATATTGTCCTAGAAGAAGTCATGTATTTTAGTAAAAGAGGAAAGAATTAAAAATAGTTTGCTTTTTTGTTCATGAAATGCGAATGTGTATCTATGATAGTAATAAGAGATGAAGAAAAATAAATATAGCAAGGATTTTCAATGTCAGTTTATACAAGGATCTTGTATTGTTGAAATTTCACTTGAAAATGTAAAAGATGGCCATGCATCAGTGGTATGGTTTGAGTATATCTTTGCTTTTTTCTAAGGCTTTTCCATTAGAATTTCAGACATATTTGATCTACAGCTTTATCTCTTTGCCCTTTTGTTCAAATTCTAAGACAAAATATATTGATACATCGTCCTAGAAAGCCAAGAAAAGTTCAAACTTGAGTAGCAGCTAACAGCACCTGGCCTACCAATTTACTTAATCTTTGTTCCACAGTAGAATTTAACTTTAAATAAGCAAGCAAATAGGTTTGGCTATTACAACAAATAATGCAACAACTTAGTACCTTAACAAACTCTTATTAGCTAACAACAAGTCAGGTAGCTGTTAATATGTATTCTGTAGATGGTCATACATGGAAAGACTCAACAACTTTCAAAGTTGTGAGGTAGTATGCATTTATTCAGTGCTGAGGGCGCATGGGGAATAGCTTCTCCAAAGACATATGCACCCTCAGCAAACCTTATCCCTCTGTTTATTCCCTGAAGTGTTATATATACATTGTTTCACAATATGCCTATACCTATTAATTTCCTAGCTCCGCCTAGCCTTGCTTCATATTGTAATGATCTTAAAATCCTTCTGCTCTTGCGCAGTGTCTTCTGGTGGTCGTACGGTAGTTGTCAGGATGAAGTCAAAACAGTCTTTCTCAGAGCTGAACTTTTCACCCTGCCTCCTTGTGCACTCCCTGGTCTCTTGGTCACAGTTCCAACTGCAAGACTGGTCTTGGCTGGT